ATAAGAGCGGGGGGGGGGGCAGGGCCGTAACAACTCAATTAACACTGGATCGACAGACACCCAGTCCTTTGAAGCGATAAGCATGATAAAGCTTTTATAAAAGCCATTCCCATGCCAGACATCTGTGCTCTGTCCACAGAGCAGACCGCAACATAAAGGGATATAACTCTGAACATCTGATGGACAAAGACCGGCCACATATCCTCTACGCATTGTTTAAACGTGAAAGACAAAATAAAAAGAACTAAAGCAAGGCACATACATGTTTAAAAAAAAACATAACATTTGCTTAATATACAACTTATTTCATCTGAAGACATGGCAGTCAAAAAACGTTTCACAAAAAGCTACCTTAAAAAAGAAAACTGGAGTTCTAAAAAAATGACCATTTACAATTCATTTAAAATACTTTGAGCCAAGAAGACACTTTAAACTTTTATCTTAAATATTAGCAGTTTCATCAACAAGCCCTCTTGATGCTTCATCATTAAATACTTGTTGAAAACATTTATAATAATCTCTGTTCATAATTTAAATATTACAAATATTCTTCTGAGAACCGGGAAAGGGATTAAGCATATATGGAGCTACTGAAAGTGTGTAAAGCATTGTGGGACCTACACAACTACTTTTCTTGCTTGTGTCCCCTTCCTTTGGGCCCTTTCTTTAATTACATTTAAGATCATTTTGATACTGTGACAATTCTAACAATGAGCAGGCAGATTGTCATGGCAACAAAGATGGATGGAAGATAATGAGAGACTGTGAGTTTGCTGGCAATGAGATAATGACATTCAGAGGCTTGCAAGAGGTTCAGTTGTGACCGGTGCTGTCATAACAGCGAACTGCGCTCCCACTGTAAATGAGAGAGCATGGCATCTGGAAACATCTTATGTCCACAGAGACCAAACCAAACAATTGTAAAAGCATTGCTCAGTCTACCCTCCATATACAGTGGGTACGGAAAGTATTCAGACCCCCTTCAATTTTTCACTCTTTGTTATATTGCTGCAAAAATGTCAACGATTCTGTGTTTTTCTGTCAATATGGGGTGCTGTGTGTACATTAATGAGGAAAAAAATTAACTTAAATGATTTTAGCAAATGGCTGCAATATAACAATGAGTGAAAAATTGAAGGGGGTCTGAATACTTTCCGTACCCACTGTATGTCCCTATAAAGTTACTCAATGTGATTCTCAGTGAATATGTTTAACATAGATACTGCTATGTTTTTCAGAATAAGTTATGGACCATGCTTAACTGCATCTTGGACCAGAGCTCTTACTTTGGTCATTAAGGATATGTCTGTCTGGATGATATTGGGGGGAATGCAAAACAAAGCAGGCACACCATGGTACAATTCACACCCTTAAACAGCCACTGAGCGATGTGCTGAGGTTAGACTGCATGCAGGCTTCCAATGGAACTACACCTGTCCAAGCTCAGACCCTTAAGCTAAGAAGATTCCTTGGGTAGGTGGAAATGCTGAGCATCAAGCCACATCAACATTTGTGAAATCCTTGTTAGTTCACTACACTGTCAGTCAGTTTTAGATTCCTGTTTTATGACACTCACACACACATTTGCAACTTCCTCACTTTGTGCTTCCTGACATCCCACCTTCTGCAAGCCGTCAAACATCAATAGACCCCTCTACCTTGTTCTCGCCTGTGTTTCTGAGGTCACTCGTATAGTCAAAGTCAACATAACTCTATTTACTTTCTAAATGCACGATCCTGGTCTTATTGTGAACAATTCATTCATCGCACTTTACTTAGGCCACACAGGCTATTGCATAATGCTAACCAATAGCTATTCAGTGCCTATCTTCACCATATAGTCCCACTGTACATTTTTTCCTTGCATATCCTGTTTTGCCTGGAAATGCATCACATCATGGACGTAAACCAGCAATTCATGTTGACTTCATGGCCTAAACTGTATATCACCTTGCTGCAGATGACTGAAGCATGGAGATGTCCAAGGATGCGAATCACTCCTCACCAAATCAGAACACACAGGCCCTTCCTTTTCTACTGGCTTAAGGCAGTGCCTCCCACATGGACACGGGACCTTTTCTCAGTTTGAACCGGTTTGCTTGTGTGTTAGAAACACTGAGGTCACCTCTCATGTTAAGGCACACAGGACACTGCACATGATGAGGGCAGGTGAAGGAGGAAGGCTGTGCAGGAGCAGGAATGTATGAGTTCACACAGGCAGAAAGTGAATGGAAACATAAAAGGTCACAACAGCACAGAGCGGGAGCCCAGAGCAAGCACAGAGCAGGGGGTGAAACAGCCACTTCAGTCACTTCACTACATTCAACACAGCCCACAACACTCTTCAGCAGAGCACAGCCAAACATACAGATTTTTTTTTTTTTTAACTTCAATATAGTCATAGAAAAATCCACATATCTGTCATCATAAATTTCTTAATGTTTCAACACTGTCTGTACCATTGAACATGAAATAAAAACATAAAATATTTATATTTATTTATATATATATAACTGTACTAATGCATGACTCTCACTATAAGATTTTTTTCTTTATAGATACAAACTTTCCTCATGCTTACAATATACACATACCATACTATTATTTCATATACAGTTATTATTGTTTTCATATTATTTTACTACTCATTGCTCATAGTAGATAGAGATATTCCATGGACAGAGAGTTGAGCATTATGTATTAAAACCCAACATCTGCTCTCCACCCTCTGCTCTGTCTTTGATGTTTAAAGCCCTGGATGGCCTTCTGCCCAGTCCTGAGGTACATCAGCTCGGGTTTGTGCAAACCAACTCGGAGGGAGAGAGGAGAGATAGGTGTTTCATGGCGATGGGGAAAGGGGAGGAGAAAAGAGGGGTGAGAGGAGCCAGTGTTGAGGATTAGGAAGGGATAGGTGGGTATGTTGTTGGTCATTGTGCCCTTGTGCTCTCCCGGGGCCCTGAGGTTGTGCCACAGAGACACAGGCTGTGCTCTTCACTCCAGCATGGCATCCAGCTGGTCGGCCAGGTCATCGAACATGCTGCCGATGTCGTCTAGGATGCTCACTGTGCTCTTGTTTTCAGCCAATGAGCTGTGGATCAAAACACACACTTAAATATGATTTAGACATGTAAAAAAAAAATGGCTTCAATGACACAAATAGATTTCTTTGGTCAACACATCCCCAGTGGTGAATTTAAGAGAAAGGTTCAAAAGCTTAAAAAAAAAAAAAGATTTGCCCTTAATTATAACATTTGGTTACAGGCATTTTTAAAAATCACTGTAGTATTCTGGTACCATCACTCGCTTGTACTCAACCTGATGGTGAAAACATGCTTAAAGTCTTTGCTTCTTAATAACCACAGATGTGGACTCAAAACTGCTGCCTTGATTTGAAGGACTTGTGACTAGAAAAATACTAGAAACTACTTGAAATTAAATGTTAATGTGAGACGAGATGCCATCATAGACTAGATTCTTACCGGTCTATAAATGTCACTGAAAACAGTTTTTGCATATTTCATGACACTCACTCTTTTTGCCCATCCTCCTTGATCTTCTCTTCTACAGCCTGCAGGGCTGCAGCCAGTGAGGCACTGGTCTCCTCTATCTTCTGGTGCACTGCATCTACTGTCACTATCCCTGCGACAAACGCTGATCCAGTTGAACTGTCCATGGACACCCCACTGATTGAAGAGCGAGGGGGCTTCACAGGTGGGGGTGTAGGGATGGGGGTTGGGGGACCTGATGTCTGGGGAGTTTGGGGTGTCTGTGGGGTTTGGGGTGTCTGAGGTGTCTGTGGGGTGTGAGGAGACTGGGGTGTGTGTGGGGTCTGCGCACTCAAGGCTGGTGGGGTTGTAGCCTTGACAGGGTGGTTGTTCTGGGCAGAAGCTGTGCTGGCCATTCTGGTGACAGTCTGCTTGGGAGTGGGATTAGGTGTCACATTTAAAGACTGCAGAACATTTTTGGATGGTTTGGGAGCTGTGGGAGGAGGTGTAGGTTTTGGTGAAATTGGAGGAGGTACTTTCTTTCCTTCAACTGTAAATAGAAGAGAAAAGAGATAGGGAAAGAGATGGGAGAAGAGACTGAGCGGATTTTGATGCAACAAGGTCTAAATGCTACAGGGTTTTACAGGATACTCACATAATTGTGTAAAGACAGGGCAAGTGAAAGGGCCGCACTGTGTAGTACCTGGGCTGCCAGGTGCCCCAGTTGGTCCAGGAAATGGGGCTTTCTTGGTGATGGCAGCTGGTGGTCCTTGTTTCTTCATGTGCTGGGCCAGAACAGGTTTGGGGGACACCGGAGGTTTGACAGACTTACGAGGGGCACTCTCAGTAACATGGCCTTCCAGGTCTGCACTGTCCCGACGGGGTGAGTTCTCAGGATGTTCCTGTGGCCTGGGCTGTTCTGAAACAGTCACCTCTGACACAGGGCGCCTTTTAATGGTGCCAGTCCCATTCTCATATGGTACGGGCATCTGCCCATCCTGAAGTTCTTCTGTATCTTTGTCTTTGCTCTTGGGGCGGCGCTTAACCGTATTTGACTCTGTGAGATGGAACTTGGTGCCATTTGGTTGCTGCTTGGTGCTCTGGACCGTCCTTTTCAGTGAGGCTGTGGCATCCACACGTGAACGGTTCTCCTGGGGTAAAGAGTATGACATTTCTAGTCCCTCCTCAGTCTCATCTTTGCCCTGTCTAGGTCTTTGTTTGATGATGATGTTTCCATCCTCAGCAAATGGAAGGTTCTCTGCTGAGCTCCCACTAGAGCTTGGCTGGGTTTCATTGCGTTGTCTATCCTGGACTGGCTCCGGCTGTGGTCCTCGCTTGGCAGCTGCTACTAACTCAGTGACAGGCCCACTAATAGTCCTGCGACGGTTCACTACTTCTCCATCCAGTCCAATGGCATCACGCTGCTTTGCTCCTGCAGAACCCACCTGTAGAGAAATAATCTTGTTTTACTACACCAGATATTGCTAACAGACATTTTTATGATAAATACTAAGTATAATCCCAAAGACACAATGACAACCACCTTACCTGCAGATAGTGACCTGCAAATTTCTGCAAATGGAGACCCTTGGCACCCCCACCAATGGAGGACATTTCCAACATGGCCGCAATGCTCTTCACACTACCAGTACTGCCCGTGTCTACAATGCCACCCAGGTCACTTGCACGTCTTTGTGGTTGGTAGGGAACCTCCAGAAGAGGTCCACTGCTCGTCTCCTTGGGCACTTCTGTCAGATTACTACTGGAGCTTGAGATGGCTGAACTAGAGCGTTTGGGGGGAGGTGGAGGAGGACCCTTCTTCTTCTGTCTGAGTGCAAAGGACTGGCTTCGGTTGACATTTTTGTCTGCCTGCCCTTTCATTGAGTTGCTGCGACACACCCGGTGCTGTACTGTGGCATACTTTCCTCCTAAATCTGGCACATTTAGCTCTTCCCGCTCCTGCTCACCATCAGACACAGCATAGCGATTCAGGCTGTGGGCACGTTTCTTAGGTAGACCATACTCATCGCAAGCTTCGTTGCCTTCTGGAGGCAGGCACAGGAGTGGTACTGAGACAGCAGGTCCTTGGGGTGCAGCTTCCATAGTTTCCACAGGCTGGGCAGCTGGGTGTGGATGGGACCTTTGAGTGGGGGATTGGGGGTGAGCACGAGGTGTCATGGGCTTTTCGGTCTGTTGAAGCAGCTGAGAACTAGGTTTTTGTTTACCCGGTGGGTTGCCCACCGTCTGTGAGGTGGGAGGTTTTGTATTGGTGGGCGTTTGTGGTGGAGTATAGGGCGGTCCTGTACCTTGGGGATAAGACTGACGCGGTTTTGCCTGCGCCGATGAGACACTTCTCTGGCCCCCCTGGCTGCTCTGGCGCATGGTACGTGCCTCCTTTTTGGGTGGCCCACTAGGCTCCTCTGTGTCTCGGCTCTTGTTCATGCTGTTCTCATGCAGACTGCGGGCTCGGTGTTGTGCTCCCAGGCTGCTGTTGGTTCTCACTTCTGTGCCATCCTGCACATCAGCAGGGCGTGTAAGAGCAGCCTGTAACTCCCCACTCAGTTCACTGTCCTGGAAAGTGCTCATTTTAGGGGACATACACTCTCCGCTGTCGTGGGGTGGGCTCTCAATAGTCATCACCTCCTGAGTGGCTGGAGGCTTTTTACGCAATGTGTTGCGACCGTCAGAGGCCTTCTGGATCTCTGCCAGCTTCTTTACTGCAAGCATAATCTTCTTCTGGTGTCCTAGGCAAATTAGGTTAGAGAAAGAGCGTAAACCACTATGGCTTAGGCAGTTTGGAGAGAACAGAAGTTTGTGTGTGAAATCACTTTAACAATATGGATCCCAGTCCACTATCTATCTTACCAAGTTTTGTAATGCCAATCTCCTGAAGGTCCTCCCACGTGATGTCAGTGATAAAGTCAATGTTCTCGTATCCATTTTGGACTAAGACTTGGTGATATTGACTCAACCCAATCATAGCTAACCACTCTCCAAGATTCGCCTACAGATTAAATGCAGATAAAAACAAATTAACATCTGGATGTGTTTGATTGTGTGTGTGCGCGTGCGTGTGTGGTTGTACGTTAAACTCACCGGTTTTTTGTCAGGCAGCCACTCATTAACAGTGATCTCTGAAGTTATCTTCTTTCGATGTCCTGGTTTGGTTACTCCAATAGCTGTTAAATCCTGAAAATAAATATAGGAGTCCCTAAACCAGCCAATCACATTTCAGCACCCAATGATCAAGAGCTTCATGCACACATACACACTAAACCAAGTGGCATATATTTTGTGCATTTGAACATATAGACAAAAATGCACAATATTATATATACACAAAATTACATATACACATAAAAGATAAAACATCAGACATATTAAACACTCTGATTCCCAAAAGGTGCCAGGATGACAGAAGCAGATGCAAAATGAAAAAAAAAAATGGGAAAGGGAAAAAAATAAAATAATATTGTAACAAGTGAGGAAAATAAGCCTTTTCAGAGTACCCCAAACATAACAAAATAAACATATCCTAGTTGATCATGTCCTCAGTGTTTCAACAGTACACCCCTGTTAATTCTGCTTTCAGCAATGACACTATGTAAATCCTATGAAGTCAGTGGTTTAATGTAATTAAGTATGGGTAGATGAGCTTGCTTTCAGGAATTCAAATTGCTCAAAAAATTAATTTCAGGTTTAGTAACAATTTTGATTTAGTAACAGATTTACACTCCATAATATACATGAAATGACTGTTAATACTTCTACTACAAAATATGATATATGTTCATAAGATATATGTTTAAAATGCTTTCGAGTTTAATCATATACATAAAATTACATAGCTCACAACAGCATGTATATTAATCACAACATACGCTTAAGTAATTATGTGATTCATCAAGATACCAACATAACATAGTAGGAAAAGACAAACACATTTGACAACCAAGACAGCAGCACTGTCTTGGGGGATTTTCTGGGTGAGATTTTCCAACTTGCCGTGGGCAAAATTCAAACTCTCATAAAACCTGTGAGCTTCTGGCACATTGGTAGCAATTTTATTTTAAATTTTGAGGAGAAATTGTTGGTTGATTCGCTTCTTTTCTGTGCTTTGAGTGGGTCTGTGGGTGTTACATTTAGGGTAGAGGGGAGTGATGTGAATAGTTTAGAGTGGCTTAAGGGGATGGGGGGGACAACTCTTACCTCTGGGGTCATTCGGCTAATGGTAGGAATATCATAGCCGGCGCTGATGAAGTTTGGAGCGTAGACCTGCAGCTGAAATTCACTCAGCCATTCGATAACAGCCTCTGAGCTCTAGAAGAGAAGATAGGTGGCAGTCTATCATTGTTTGGGTCCTGTGGCTGAAAATGGACCAGACCCCAGGCCAACAAACTGAAAACATTAGTCTCAGTGACCAATGTCTCAACTTCACTAAACTTTATTAGTTCATAAATAATTAAAACCTGCCCCTACTTCTTTTTTTTGTATTATACTGGAGTTAAAATTATTACTCTTGGTCCAGGTACCTGCTCTAGCAACAAAAGCCAAAACTTTAGCAAATAAAAGCTTTTCTTCATGAACCAAACAGTTCAGCTTTAAAAAAAGTAGTGTCCATATATTATCTGCTTTGGAATGCCATTTCCCTGGAGGTAGGAGGATGTACTGTAACTCTATGTAGGAGAGGCAAAAATGGACGTGGGCAGCAAAGAAAATAGGGCTGTTTTGAACAGATGGCCCTCAGTCCAGAAGTCCAGCATGGAGCAGCTCTACTCAACAGCTCCAAAGTCCTGCTGAGGAAGATATGGTAGCCATATTTCTCTGTTATATGACTAAACAGTATAATTTCTAATTTCAGCTCATTATAAAAATGACATAAAAATGGTGAGTATCAAATATGTATTACCAATTTGCAACATACAAGCTCATTTATGGGATAAAGGATAATAACACCTAGACAGTGTCATATTCATATTGTGTTGGTATACCTTTCTAGAAAATATCAGCGTCATAGTCTCATATCCTCTACAGTTGTATCTGTTCTACAAGTCTCAGTGTGGACAGACTAAATCTTGATCATATGCCAATTACTATATCACCTCTAAAATACACTCCGAATTCAAATAAAAAGTCTACATTTTTGGGTACTCTATGAAAAGAAAACAAAGGTGAAATTTATTGCAAATAAGGCAAACAAATTGGAATGGACTTCAAAATGTAGCAAAGAAAATGAAATGAATGATCAGAAAAGATCAGAGAGAACGGAATCGCTGCCAATATTAGACAGTAGTATCAGATAGAGCAGTTGACAAATGCCTGAAGCTGAGGACAGCGTGCAAGGAAGCCTGCGGAGAAGCCCACTCACCGTGTCCTGACGACAACCGAGAGCACGTAATACTGATGATGCCAGCTGTGAGAGGAAGTCCTGGGAAAGCATCCTGGATGTGCAGATGCCAGTGCATGCATGCGTATGTGTGCGTAAAAAGTGTATGCTTGTTTGAGGGAAAGGTATGGGGACAGTGTGATTCAAGCGGGAGTAGGAGTCTCCTTACCTTCCCCTCAGGCAGCGCCTCCCCTTTCCTCTGGGACACCGCCTCCCCATATGGCTGCTCATGAAGTGGACAGCTTGATATACTCTGACTGCGTGAGGAGGGTCCTAGAAGAACCATGAGATCATTCATATACATCAGAGCACTGCTATTGCACAAACCAATCCCTTTTGTGTTTTCTGACCAAGTACTCCTCTTAGCCAATCAGATCTTTGTGATGCTCCCACCCACAGCTATTAGTGCAACCATCTGGCACAGAAAAAGCAGCCAAGTCTCTAATTTGTGAAAAAAAATGGTAAAATATTTTGGATGGAGAAACTTCTTTGTGACAAAAGATTCTCGGTATGATTTCTTCTCAAAAGAGTTGTTTGAAATTCCCACTAACCCTTGTTGCTGGAAGCGTGAGAGGGGTGGTCCAAAGACTTGGTCTGCTCCAGCAGGTGTTCTTTAGCTTTGGCAGACTGGGACAAAACCGTGGCCAGAAGCTACAGGATAAACAAAGCTCATCAGATCAAGAAATGACATGAAAATATCATCAATGCTGACTATGCCAATTGGACTTAATGTTCACCCCCTTGTGTTCAACGTTGAAGAATGAAGCTTTACAAAAATGTCCCTCCAGAAAATTTAGGTAAAATCAGCATCTCATGGTAACTATTTGAAGCTCATCATTTTATTGGTCAGTATCAGGGCAAAGCTGGCTTAGGTGGACTACCAGCTATTGGGGTTGAGGTCAACATTGTAGACCATCTTGATCAATCTGGTTAGGACTCGCAGAGACCAGCTTCTGATATTGTTGGTTCTACATGGGTTCTAGCTGGTCATTTAAGGTGATCAGCTGGTCCAGGCAAGTTTCGTTGGACTGCCAGCTTGTAGGATCAAAATCAAATTTCTGGATAATTTTGGTCAACCTTGCTAGGGCTGGTAGACCAGCTTCTGATATTGGTTTTACATGTTACCTAACTTGCCATTTAAGGTGATTAGCTGGTCCTAGCAGGTTTAGTTGGACTGCCAGCTTGTGGGGTCAAGGTAGACCATAGTAATTTGGTAGACCAGTTTCTGATATTGCTAGTTTTACATGGTTTCTAGCTGGCTGAAGCTGGTCATTTAAGGTGATTAGCTGTTCCCACTGGGTTTAGTTAGACTGTAAGCTTGTAGGATCACGGCTGACCTTGTAGACCATCTAGGTCAACCTTATTACGGCTGGCAGAACAGCTTCTAAAAGTAGCTGATTTAAAATGTTTTCTAGCTTGTTCATGCTCATTATTTATGATTATTTAGGTCATTGGCTGATTTGGTTAAATTCTAAAACACAACTGAGCTGGTTGACATGACTGCTCATATTGGCGCATTGTGACCTGTTTTTTTACAGTCCTTTGAGATTGTAATAGACACAGTAATACTGGCAATAGAACAAAGACACTTCTAACCATTTAAACCAGCAACATATAAGACAGTTCTTTCAGGTATCTTCTCAAACCACATTGGAGTTGAGTCACTTTGCATGTCAGATAGCTTACCTTGACTCCCTCTGCCTGTGCATGAAGGATAGTGCTGCTGCCTGCACTCTGTCCACTACCAGAGGATCTGGCACTGGCCACGCTGCCTGAACTGCCCACACTGCTGCGGTCTCCACCTGGAACAACAAGCCCCCAGCAAACACACACACACAAACACCGTCAGCCCAGTCGGAAAACACCTCCCTGAAACCCTCCAATCACACCACTATGAACTTCCCCTCTGCAATGCACTGATCTGATACACGGGATGACAGAGACTTACATAACAATGGTGACCAAAGACCAGGTGACTGATGGACACAAGACATGTTACCAGAGTCACTAATACGAACACATTCAGGCCCACGCTGCCTTCACTGAAAATGCAGTTTGCACACACGGCTACAGACACATCTGTGGATTGTCTGTATGTGTGTTCTGGAGGGAACGACTTAACGGATGTTGCTCTAACAGAGCGAATGAGAGCCTTTCAATGCGCCTACACGCCTGCAGTTGAGGAGGTTTCTGAGGTCAGGCGTACAGCAGCTGCACCTGGAGCGTGGCAAAGCAGGGGGAATTATGAGAGAAGAAGAAGAGGAGGAGGAAGAAGGGGCAGCCCTGCTGTTACCTGCCACAGGCTTGCGCAGCACCCAGATCTCCTCGCTGCTGCCGCCCTGGGTACCACCAGCTGGGGTGGGTGAGCCATGCGGACTGGACTCTGAGCCGCGAGAACCTTTAACACAGAAACCACCATTAACTGTGCCCTGGCTTGGCCACCTGCCTGGGATCAGAAGTTTTCTGGACAGGTCAGGCATGGACAGCTAAACTATGTATATGCGCTTTAGCAGTCTGCTTGACTACAACCCTCTCTTTTGCTTTCAAACACACACAAGGCAAGCACGCATATATATATATACTGTATATCTAACACAAATATATATGAACATTTATATTCAGAGGTACATGAAATATAAAAGAGTAAACGTACTATATATATGTGTATATACATATATATATGCCTTGGTTTACACATACACATTGGTAAAACATATATAATATATACAGATATATATGATTATATATGTAAATAGGTATCACAACAAAAGGTGTCGCAGTGCATTACAGGAGCATAGTTCATTAGGATTCTAAAGCCATCAAACCACAAGTGTACATTAATGTGTGCATATACAAATAAAAATGCAATAACATCTTATGGCAGCTGTCTATAATCATTGAAGAGTCTTACAAGAATTTAAAAATATATATTGTTAAAGGGAACATTTACCCTAAAATTGTAACTCTGTCATCATTTATTCACCCTCATGTCTTTCTTGTGAACACAAAATAAGAATATTTTTTAAACTGTTTTTGTCCATACAATGAAAGTCACTGCCACCATGTTTGATTTGGACCCCATTGACTCATTGGACCATTTTACAGAATCTTGTTTTGTGTTTCACAGAAGAAAGTCAGTCATATAGGTTTGAAATTACATGAGGGTAAATAATGGTGACATTTTTCATTTCTGGGTAAATATTCCTTTAGGGTTTATTTCAAAATGACCAGGCCCAGACAGAATGTGCAGATTTGTTTTGCCATTTTACAGAAAACAATCAGCATGATTCTTCATAATGGATTTAAACATGGTGTTAAAACTTTTATTGGTAGCTGAAAGCATATTCAGATTGGCTGTGGTCACCATTCAAATTCTGTTCTGAGGGCACAGATTCCACATGGGCCTGATGACTATTGATCATTTACAACTGAAACAGACAAACATATTCAAATTTACGACGATCCAGAGTACATAAGAGTACCAACATGCTCCATACCAATATCAAAGTTTGGTTTGATACACAATCGCTGAAAGGATCAGAGTTAGTATATGAATGGACAGATCAGTACATTTGAGACGAAGGAGAGATGAAACAGACAGATGTTCATTGACGGCACACACACACAGACTGATGTTGTGCAGAGATGCAGGTATGGAGGGGTGAGAGGCTGGCTGTGCATTCCCCGTTGGTCATGTGTAAAAGAGAGAAAGACTGAAGTGGAGCGAATCCCAGGTGTGGTCATCACAGAGAGGGAAAATGTAGCACCAAGATCAGGGAAATTTAGGGGTAAAAGAGGAGAGATAACAGCTTCAACAAAGAGAGGCCATGAACCTCTTTTGTGCTGGTTAAAAGAACTTACTAGCCAAATCTTGGTCATTCTTGGTCTCTAAAAAAAAAAAAATCAACACCCAAAATAATGTCAGAAAAAAAAAATAAACATAAATGAGGAAATAATAATTTTCAGAAAAATAAATTCTGAAAAATGTAAGGAATTATTGGAACTAATTGATTAGTTAATATTCAGACTATTAAAACGAGAACTACTGTAATTTAACACATTCCTTAAATCTTTGTGAATAATAATAATAATAATAATAATAATAATACAGTGGAGACAGATTAGGGGATCTGTACCTTGTCCACTGTGCGGCTCTCCTGAGGTTTTTGGGGACCTGTTATAGCCAAAGGAAGTGAAAAGTGGCAGATGGGAATGTGGTGGCGGAGGTGGAGGAGGCGGCAGGATATGAATCTCATGATACGAGTCCCCATTCACCATGGCAACGGCGGGCGACACAGGGCCGCACACCGGCGCACAGAGCTGTATCTTTTGATACTGTTGGGTACAAGTGACTGGACTCCATGAACCTAGATACGACAACACAGCAACCACCACCACCACAACAAACAAAACAATGACACATAAGAGAGGGAAAGTAAATTAACCCAACACAAAAATCACAACCAATCACAAAATTCAAAACAGCAAAACCATAAAAGACTAATCAAAAGGAAGAAAACGCTTTTATATTTCGAGCTGTTCAGTGTGAATGAAGTAAAATGGATGTAACTACAGTGATGTGAAAAAGTGTTGGCCCCCTTCCTGATTTCTTATTTTTTTGCATGTTTGTCACAGTTTAATGTTTCAGATCATCAAACAAATTTAAATATTAGTAAAAGATAACACAAGTGAACACAACATGCAGTTTTTAAATGAAGGTTTTTATTATTAAGGGAAAGCAAAATCCAAAACTACATGGCCCTGTGTGAAAAAGTGTTTGCCCCCTAAACCTAATAACTGGTCGGGCCACCCTTAGCAGCAACAACTGCAATCAAGCGTTTGCGATAACTTAACATGTCGATTGATATTTTATGTGTACACTCAAAATATACATATATACATATATATATATATATATATATATATATATATATATATGAAATAGAAGCGATGCGTGGAAATGCAAGGTTAGTGCATGAATTGGAGAGGAGCTGGTGCTTGTAGTGAAATGCAAAGTCTTTCTTTATACTTGTTTCTGTAAGTCCCTGAGGACAAACAGAATGATCTTCTCAAATGAGAAGTTTAGTATGCATGACTCTTTTCAGTTAGTCTGTGTGTGGGTGGGTGTGCGAGTGTGCAATTTGACTATTTATGATCACTGTGAGCACAGCAGGACTTAGTAGAGGGCTTGTCTGAATTGAGAACTGTCCTCCTTTCACTAATTACATAAATATAACAGACATTACTCCAGTTACAATATTTTTTATAAAAACTGCAATTTCAGCAAATAAGGGACTATAAGAATGGATTTTAAATATTTTAAAAAGCACAATGGCATAAATAGTGGGGAAAAAACATGGATGGAGTGGAGGAGACCGAGCAGCAGATGCAGACACAGAAATGGATACTTAGTGACGCATGAGACACAATGAACACATAGATTAGTTCCCTGCTGTCATTCCCAAACAAAGCCATAAACTGGACATAAACCCGCTGGATGGAAAGAGAGGACTTTATGGACCGTATAAATCTGCACGGGTGCACAGAAAAGTCTTCTGATGCCCAATGATTCTTCCTATGAGTGATACACTAAAAACATTTTTAAGGTCAGGTTTAACGGGTCTTCTTCTCTTCTCTTCTCTTCTCTTCTCTTCTCTTCTCTTCTCTTCTCTCTCATCTTCTCTTCTCTTCTCTTCTCTTCTGATAATTAACACCATCAGCCTCAAAAATAGTTTCTCTAGCATGGATGGAGAGGTACTTATTTGCCAATGTGAACAAAGATGAAGATCTAGATGCCCCAAGTGTTACATAGTATTACATACAAGTGTCTATTAAATTCCAGTCCAGCAGAGGGCGCAATCCACTGAGTTCTGCTGTTCCGTCAATATCTGGATGAAGATGTAGCCACTGTTTAAGGCACTATTATCACCAGAGATTCCCTTTTGACAGCATAAAATGCTATATAAACTGAGCATTATGAGATGAGAAAAGAGCTGAAGATGCTCCACATTTGCCCTGGTTTTGATGCCACAAAAGCAGATGGCCCTGCCTGGCTCTAAATCCAGTGCACATGAGCAGCATGAACAGCTGGCTGTAAACAGAATCAGGGTCATGTGAGTTTATCAGCATTACTTATGCATCTGTGAGTGTGTGAGGTCTCAGTAAGAGGCAGCACTGACCCGCCTGTTGTCCTCTCTTACCCGCAGCCCCAGGCCTCTTACTGATCATTTCCACCAAGCTGGAGGGGAAGTAGCCCACTCTGTCATTTCCTGTGCGGTTATCATGGATGCAGCCCTTCCACCTTCCGTCTGAATGTTGCTCCAGAACCTACATGAGTAATGAATCATCATTATCTGTCATCTAGTGTATAATAATGGCAATATACATCATCTGGACATCTGGATCTTTGTAGTTATTTTCATTCAAAGTCTCATGTTTATTAACCAGTGAGAGAAATTTAGAAAATCTAGAACATTTCAAATACTAAAATTCAAATACTATAGACTAGAGGAAGAAGAGATCATGTAGTAAGGAGCCGATGCACTTATTTAAATAATTTTTGTTTAAATATAAAACATAGGCAACAGCACCCTGTTGACAAATTCCGAAAGTACACTGAACTATCTTCTATTACTACAAAGGATTAATTTGGAACTTCTAATGCAGCCAAAATTGACTTTTTTTGAATTTTTAAAAATGTCTACATATTTAACACAGTTTGAATTGTAATAATGCATGAGAGTAAAACAAACTGACTTCAAATTGACATCAAATATTCAACATTTGTTTTAGAGCAGGTCTTGTTGAATGAATATTACCGTGATGACATCTCCAGCCTTTATGTTAAGGCTAGTCAGGTCGTAATTGTTACAGTAGTCCTTCAGTGCCCTGACCTGCAAGGCTGCTGAGGCATCTGCATTGAGATATAAATGGCATAAGCTACTACACATCACATATAAACATACATATAAACAACATGCATAAATATGAGATATATATTTACCCCTTTTCTTACCTCGCAGCATCTGCTTGATCTCTCGGCTGGCCTGTGTAGCAGTGAACTGGTAGACGATGTCCAGCGCTGTCTGGCTGTATGTGTTTCTCACTGTTGCATTGATGCCACTCTGTAGGGTGAAAGTTAAAGCAATATTTGATCATGTTTGGGATCCCGTGTACTAACATGGGAGATATGTTTCTTATATGAAGAGATATGAAGCTTGATCTTTTTACTTTTCTCTTCTCTTCTCTTCTCTTCTCTCTCATCTTCTCTTCTCTTCTCTTCTCTTCTGATAATTAACACCATCAGCCTCAAAAATAGTTTCTCTAGCATGGATGGAGAGGTACTTATTTGCCAATGTGAACAAAGATGAAGATCTAGATGCCCCAAGTGTTACATAGTATTACATACAAGTGTCTATTAAATTCCAGTCCAGCAGAGGGCGCAATCCACTGAGTTCTGCTGTTCCGTCAATATCTGGATGAAGATGTAGCCACTGTTTAAGGCACTATTATCACCAGAGATTCCCTTTTGACAGCATAAAATGCTATATAAACTGAGCATTATGAGATGAGAAAAGAGCTGAAGATGCTCCACATTTGCCCTGGTTTTGATGCCACAAAAGCAGATGGCCCTGCCTGGCTCTAAATCCAGTGCACATGAGCAGCATGAACAGCTGGCTGTAAACAGAATCAGGGTCATGTGAGTTTATCAGCATTACTTATGCATCTGTGAGTGTGTGAGGTCTCAGTAAGAGGCAGCACTGACCCGCCTGTTGTCCTCTCTTACCCGCAGCCCCAGGCCTCTTACTGATCATTTCCACCAAGCTGGAGGGGAAGTAGCCCACTCTGTCATTTCCTGTGCGGTTATCATGGATGCAGCCCTTCCACCTTCCGTCTGAATGTTGCTCCAGAACCTACATGAGTAATGAATCATCATTATCTGTCATCTAGTGTATAATAATGGCAATATACATCATCTGGACATCTGGATCTTTGTAGTTATTTTCATTCAAAGTCTCATGTTTATTAACCAGTGAGAGAAATTTAGAAAATCTAGAACATTTCAAATACTAAAATTCAAATACTATAGACTAGAGGAAGAAGAGATCATGTAGTAAGGAGCCGATGCACTTATTTAAATAATTTTTGTTTAAATATAAAACATAGGCAACAGCACCCTGTTGACAAATTCCGAAAGTACACTGAACTATCTTCTATTACTACAAAGGATTAATTTGGAACTTCTAATGCAGCCAAAATTGACTTTTTTTGAATTTTTAAAAATGTCTACATATTTAACACAGTTTGAATTGTAATAATGCATGAGAGTAAAACAAACTGACTTCAAATTGACATCAAATATTCAACATTTGTTTTAGAGCAGGTCTTGTTGAATGAATATTACCGTGATGACATCTCCAGCCTTTATGTTAAGGCTAGTCAGGTCGTAATTGTTACAGTAGTCCTTCAGTGCCCTGACCTGCAAGGCTGCTGAGGCATCTGCATTGAGATATAAATGGCATAAGCTACTACACATCACATATAAACATACATATAAACAACATGCATAAATATGAGATATATATTTACCCCTTTTCTTACCTCGCAGCATCTGCTTGATCTCTCGGCTGGCCTGTGTAGCAGTGAACTGGTAGACGATGTCCAGCGCTGTCTGGCTGTATGTGTTTCTCACTGTTGCATTGATGCCACTCTGTAGGGTGAAAGTTAAAGCAATATTTGATCATGTTTGGGATCCCGTGTACTAACATGGGAGATATGTTTCTTATATGAAGAGATATGAAGCTTGATCTTTTTACTTCCCATTTAGAAAGAGGTTGTATGAGAAAACAGACCAGTCTGGTCTACTCTGTCTGGCCACTTCCAAGCAATTCACTATTCAAAATAATTCAAACCTAACAGCCAAAACCTGGTGGAAACCACCATATCATTGAAACTGCTAGTTTGAACCTAAATGGGTGGTCTGTTTGCTAGAGAAGTTGGTTTATGACAATTATGTACACTGAAGTATAACAGTCAGTTATGTTCTTAATACAATCAATGTTATCACAAACAGTATGGGTTGATCAGTCAGTCAGTTAATTAAATGTTGGTGCTTTTTCTCAATTTTAAATGATTGTTTTTATTTAGTCTCCATGTTGCTGCTGTATATGCCACTAAAATCCCTTCAAGGATCAATAAAAGTTTCTCTGTCTGCTTACATCCAGCAGGAGGCGCACCACATCAGTCTTCCCACACAGCGCAGCCTCATGGAGGGCAGTGCCCGCTTTGGTCTGCCTGTTGATGTCGATACCAGCCTGGATCAGCAATCTATTAAGAGAGGACAAAATTAGTAACTAGTTTGACTCAACCACTGAAAGCCACTGTGATCAAACTGCTTAGACCAGAATTCATGCCTAGATTTTCATTTTCAATAAACTTGTTGCTGTTGTCCTCAAGTGATCATCTTCCTGATGAGGTTTATTTTGCGATAATAACCAGCTGGATGTGCTGTACATTATTCTGCTTATTACACAGCTACTTACAAAATAAATAAACAAACATTAATTACTGAAGTTATTGGATTATTTTATTACATGAGGAAAAAAAGAAAGAAACCAGAGTAGTAAAAGAGACAGTGTATGAGATTGGGTGCCAAGTAGAATATGCAGTTTAGTGTCATCATACACCACAGGATGCCAATACCAATTAGAATCAAGTATTCCAGAGAGCCATGTAATTAGGTGTAGAGTAAGATGCGGTAAGATGATTTAGTATTTTACATTAATGACACTTAAATAATGTACTATATATATTAATAAAAATTACATCAAAATTAATGTATACATTCTTAAAAGTTTACCTGGGGTGGCTTCTTGCCCCATGTTATGCTATGAGAACTAAATTAATTAATGTTTCTATTTAATTCCCATTATAACACATTGGCTGATGCATCATCCTCTTGCACATGCTAAACTCGTTTCTAATTATGGTACAATGCAAAAATAAATGAGCGTCTTCCCTATCTTACCCTTCCATTGTATATTAAACTTAAGCACTGCAAAACTGCCCAAAAATCCCCCATCAGCCTCCCGATGACTGAACGGCCTCTATTAGATAGAGCATGACCTTCTGACACTAGGGTAAATTCAATTACAGCCGCAGGACATCAGCAAACACAGGTGGCCTGAGTCATGGCTACAGAGAGGAGGATGGGAAACAGGGTGAGAGAACTTGGCCCTGGTCCCCCTATAATTAGCTGCCAAAATGACCAGTTTTAGCTACACATAACGCCCTCTTCGTGCTCGACCTCTCTTGGAAAATGCAGCAGATTAAATAACATATTGACTGGTCGGGTGTGCGCACATTGTGTGCTGAGCCGTCACTTTGCATTGGCCACATTGGAAAAATGGTGTTTCTGCTAGTGGGCAAATGGCCACATTCATCTGTGTTCATTAAAGGTATGAGAGTGTTAACACACGTATATGACACTGAGTTTAGAAGACAGCATTTTAATATGAAGGTAACAACTTTGGTTAGAGGTGCCATGATCCATTTCTTTCACAGATATGAACAACAAATGAAGCCTGCTTTCATATTTTCCCTCATTGCATCAATCTATTTAGGGCCGGCCAATGCGTACTGCCTTTGGGGTTACTGGATTAATGATGTAATTAACAGCCTTACGATAGCCCGCACTCTGTTGCTGTAACCTGCACATTCATGTGGCCTATAATTAGCTCCTGACTGATCAGAGCTGGACTTGTGCTGGATTGGAGAGAAAGAGAGATGTGGGTGCTGTGTGGGCACATGTAACAGTCTTATTCTAATGTGCGACACAGCAACACTTACAATCCAGGCAGGCTAATTAATGAAGAGTGTCAAATGTGCAGTGATAGACCTGGTGATCACATGGAGATGTTTGAGCTCCTTTTATACTCTTTATGAGACACTGATCAATCTAGTACCAAATAGCTTGTCATTTTATATTTTGTACTGTTCTGCAAGGTATGGAAATCAAGAATTCATGTCACCAAGATTAATAGCTCAAAAACAGATCACTGAGGAGTCCAATCCAGCATGCAAGATGATAAAAAGAAAATTTAAATTTGTATTTATTTATATTAGTATAGAATATTTATGATACTATATTTTGCAATACAGAAGGATACAGCAAGATAAACTCTGGAACCAACATTTTTTGCATGTTATTGCATGTTATTTTAAAGTCATAGAACCTTTCTTTTAATTGCACACAACATTCAGCACTTAAGTGAACAATTTGTCCCTGGACAACTTTGAGTTTGAGTCTCTCGTGGTAATAAACAGTGCTCACATCTTCATACTGCATGCCTTTTAGACATAATACTGATTGGATGATGAAGTTTGACTGAGAAGTCTGTAATCAAAATTCAGTTTCTTTTTTTAGATCAAACCTTGTGTTCAGGTTTGACTAGATGTAAAATAAAGCAGTCATAGTTAGTGGTTATCAATTGCATCTATAGGCCCTATATGACATATGTGACCCTGGACCACAAAACCAGTCTTAATTCGCTGAGGGTATATTTGTAGCAATAGCCAAAAATGCATTGTATGGGTCAAAATTATAGATTTTTCTTTTATGCCAAAAATCATTAGGATATTAATTAAAGATCATGTTCCATGAAGATATTTAATACATTTCCTACCGTAAATATATCAAAACTGAATTTTTGATTAGTAATATGCATTGCTAAGAAGTTAATTTGGACAACTTTAAAGGCGAATTTCTCAGTATTTTGATTTTTTTGCACCCTCAGATTCCAGATTTTCAAATAGTTGTATCTCGGCCAAATATTGTCCTATCATAACAAACCATACATCAACGGAACGCTTATTTATTCAGCTTTCAGATGTATAAATCTCAATTTTGAAAAATTGACACTTAAGACTGGTTTTGTGGTGCAGGGTCACATATAAAAGCCTCTTGTGAATGAAATTATTTAATTTCATGTGCTCCCTTTTGATAGCTTGATTTACCCTAGAATTGGTTATTATTAAAGTAGCATTAAGTTGATTCTGGACTTCATTACGTGCAAGAAGTGTTATTTTAGCATCAATGAGATCCTATTATAGTTTTTATTATTTAGTTTTACTATTTTGAATTCGTTTTTCTTTTAATATTTTCTGTTTTTACTTTATATTCAATTAAAGTTTTAGTAATTTTGCTGTGTTTGTCATTTTTATTGGTATTAGTTTTTTTTAATATTTTATTTATATTTCAGTTTTTTAGTACATAAAGTTAAATTAAATAAAAAATTAGAAATGTTTCCTTTTTTATTTTTATTTTGTTTCAGTTGATTTATGCACATCAAAAAAGTTTTTTTAAGTTTTTTTAAGGTTTTAGTTTTCCTTAATTACAATGACCCTGGTAAGCACTCTCTATGGGTACACCAAGGTTAAACAAAATAAAGCCCAGCATAAAGTGATATTTACACTAAGCCGGCCCTTGACCTAAAAACAGTTTGACACTTTTGCACTAAAATATACACTGACAAACAGTCACATGTGACAACTGTATTGACACCAAGTATCGATCCTTATTGGCAACTGCACTGGTAGTCCTGTTAGCTACAGGGCTTGAGACTGAGCCTATCCATGTATCATCATCATCATAATAACCAGAGGGTAGAAATTAAAAAAGCAGACAATACATAATACAATTTGTTATATATATATATACATATATATATATATATATATACATACACATATGTGTGCGTGTAATAAAAAATTGCGGCACACTCAACCGTGCTCATGTTCCCAGTGGAAAGAAGGAAAGATGCCCTTCATCACAAGCAGGTACAGCAGTCTGTGCGCAGATACAGCAGGTGATGCTGAGGACATGGCTTGTCCAGTGTCTGACTCGCTTGAGCTTGTATGTAAATGCATGAAATGCATGGCTGAGCCGAGATCTGGAGTGATAGATTTCTCGTCAAATGTAAATAGTTGCATGAGGACCTCTGGCCATTTGTATGATAATGCAGTGGGAAGTCACATGATTACTGAATTATAGCTCATCAAAGAGCCGATCTCTGAGCTCCAGGCCAGTTCTGATAATACTCAGATCTCATAACACACACACACACACACATAGATCAATGGCTCAGTCAAAATGGGTGAGTGTGGAAATGAATGGAGAGATGAAACAAAGTTGTGTGTCTTATAATACTCAGTAAAGCAGTAGCTAAAATAAAAATAAAATAAAATATGTATTTCAGATAAAAATGTATTTTATGTCATTAAACACTGCCTAAATATTTTTTTCCAGAATATTGTAGTTACTGACCAAGGAAAACAACCCCTTGGTCTAAACACTATGGAAAAAACAGGAAAACAAAGCCAAAACCCATTTTAGGCAATTTAGAAATCCCAGCCAGGACATGTCTGGGAAAAAGAGGACATAGAGTCACCCAACCAAACGATGGTAGAGTTTTTGGGGAATTATTTGAAAACTATTTTGAAATAAATTGGTTTTGCAGTTCCTTTTGGTGCCAGTAGAGCAGAAATGGTTTTGTTGAACATGTGATGCAAGGATATTGTAATATACAGTGGGTACGGAAAGTATTCAGACCCCCTTAAATTTTTCACTCTTTGTTATATTGCAGCCATTTGCTAAAATCATTTAAGTACATTTTTTTTCCTCATTAATGTACACACAGCACCCCATATTGACAGAAAAACACAGAATCGTTGACATTTTTGCAGATTTATTAAAAAAGAAAAACTGAAATATCACATGGTCCTAAGTATTCAGACCCTTTGCTCAGTATTTAGTAGAAGCACCCTTTTGATCTAATACAGCCATGAGTCTTTTTGGGAAAGATGCAACAAGTTTTTCACACCTGGATTTGGGGATCCTCTGCCATTCCTCCTTGCAGATCCTCTCCAGACTTTCCGTACCCACTGTATGTTAAGTGACTGACTGTTTCTCCTTCTCTCTCATGAGCGGCAGTAAATCCAGCACTTCTGGCCTGCATCATCATCACATGCTCATTGGCTGCTCATTAGCATCAGTGAGAGCGTGTCTGTTTGCAGAGTCTCATTTCATCAAGCACATGGATCCATTAACACTCAAACACACACAGCAGGCCCAGCGTCACACATCACACCAATGGCTCATAAAGTCAACTTGCATTAATATGATGTAGGCTTTTCCCTTCCCCTTTTACATTTCCATCCCGTAGCTCTTGTCCACGTACAATGTTTTGATTATGTTTATGACCATGATTAAAACAACTTCCTTAGCTCTTAAAATGAAAAGTGCTGGTTCAGTTAAAATGCAGAGCAATTCAATGAGCAATGTAAATGATCCTTTTCTTAAATTTGTATCTTTGTCTTGCTTTCCTTGTCCTGTTTGGACTCTCATTGTGACGGCACCCATTCATTGCAGAGGATCCACTGGTGGTGAGCAAATTATGTAATGCTAAATTTCTCCAAATCTGTTCCAGTGAAGAATCAAACTGGCCTGAGGGTGAGTAAATTGTCAGCAAATTAATTTTTAGGTGAACTATTCTTTTAAAAGTCAATTATGTATTATGTCATGTAGGCTTGACAAATGAAGACTAGCTTGACCATGCAAAAACCTGCTGCAGATTGATTATAACTGCATATGTAAAGATGCTTATTGAGGAGGTAAATATTTCAGTCGCCTGCCTGAAATGAACACATATATGAACGTGAACAAACAAACAAGACATAATTGTGTTAGTGCTTCTCTCTTGATAAACGACGAGTCTCCTCTCTTATAATTTCACTCAAACTTTCCTGTCCCATCCCAGAACTGCTAGGCTACATCTTTTAGTCAATACACACAATCTCTGCCTGTCTGCCTGCACCAAAATTTAGTACATTCCCCTGGTGTTAATGCCACAGAGAGAATATGGATTGTTTCTTACGCTGTGCTGATGTGGACTGTGAAACATCCGGCTTAGATATGACAGGAAATATATTTTCTTTCACACAAACAACAGGTTTACAAATGTGTTACGAGAGATTCCTATGTGTGATGTATCATAGCCCGTAATATATGAGGCACAAATCCCGCCAGCAGATCATGAAAAACATGCACTAATGAAAAACATGCAATATTTTTCTGTTAAAGAATTTTAGTATGTACATGTTAATTTCTACGTTCTACATTTACATTTTTAACATTTCAAGTTGTATAAATTAACCTTAATTAACGTATTATGAACAGACAAGAATGAATGAAAAACTGCATATTTGTTATTATTATTATTAATAAACAATAAATTTATTGAACTGTTATTTAAAAATTAACCCAGATTCATAAATAATGTGAAAATATTTTGCTTATTGTTAATTCATGACACCTAATGGATGTGAAACCTTATTGTAAAGTGTGCATTGTTGTTGTAAAGTTTTCTTATCCCAGGAGGTTTAGTGGCTTAAAAAAGTGACCTGATTTATTTTCAGTGTCTGGTAAACAGAGGTGTAACATCGACCCGGCACAGGCAGTCTGAAATCTGGAAAAGCACACTAGAGGTGTGTCTTCTATTTTTAGAAAAGCATTCGACCCATGCATCCTGTCTTTTCATCCGAGTCTCAGGGCTCTGAAAGCTCACCTAATGATGTCGATGTGTCCGTTCTTGGCAGCGAGATGCAGCGGGCTGGTGCCGTTGGGATCAGTCAAATCTCCAGGCTTGGGCTCCAATAGAGCTGCACACATGTTACTGCTCAGTAGCAGCTGGACCACCTGCAGAGCAAACAGATGATCATACACACACACACACACACACACACACACACACACAAAAGCCAACTAGAGACAGGAAAAAGATGTAAAAGTGATTTGACAGTGACCAAAAAAGCAGTGTGTGACTCACCCCAACCCGGCCGAATTCACAAGCCAGGTCCAGTGGGGTCCTCCCACCATTGTCCACTATGCAGGGGTTCGACTGATGCTGCAGAAGCATCTCAGACTGTGAACAGGTAATATAATATAATAATATAAAAATATCACAACATTTTATCGTTACATGCATTTATTTATTTATTTATTATTTTTCTAATTTATATTATACAATATAGTGTAATTTTTTAATAGACAGTCTGTAAACAGTGCCACACAAAACAATGACATATTTGCATCCCATGTTTAAACATTTAAACAAAAACCAAAGTCTTTAAGAGAGAGAATAATAGCCACAGTATCTACTAAAACAGCCTCTTCACTAAGACTGTCTGTCTTCTTCCTTTCATTAAATGCAAGTGTGTGGGATGCTCTAGCATCAAAGCATTTAATCGTCAGGTTCTGGTTCCGTTGTCAGTATCCATAACCACATGTCAAATCTTTTTTCATACACCGAGGCTCATACGGAGTCTTTGAACAACAGTGGGCAGGGTGTTGTAGCAGTGTGTACTCACTACGTCATAGTGTCCGTGTTGAGCGGCCAGGTGCAGGGGGATCTGACCCTCATTAGATTGACCGTTCACTGAGGAGCCTGACTTCAGTAGCAACTTCATGGGCTCTGACTTTCCCTGCCATGCTGCATAATGCAGAGGCCGCATCCCTGGAACATGAAAAGAAAGACTTTTAATATTACTGCACTGCAAAATATACACATTAGAGTTAAGCTTGTTTCAGGTTGTTTGGACGTGACATCCAAAGCAATACTGTACTTTTTTATCTGTGTGCCAAAACAGGTCAAATACTTCATTTAAAGATGCCAATGTGAAGTTAAAAAATTACACTGATGTTTTTCTGGTACCTTTCAGGTCCCTGATGTCCACTATGGCCTGAGACTCCAGCAGCAGTGATATAACCTCCACATTTCCATTGAGAGCTGCATGGTGCAGTGGTGAAAATCTGCGAATAACATATAATAATGACATAAACAGGACATCAGAATTTAATTAAGAACGCCAATTCCTTTATTGAATTTGAATTGAGGTAACAAACAGGATGCAGAACTGTAAATTGAATTTGAATGCAATTCAAAAATTTAAATTCCATTTTAATTCCACTGGAATGGAATGAATAAAAAATCATCAAACTGTTGTAAATTGAGCTTTTAGTCTTATTTTTCAGTATGAATCAGTATAAGGTTATCAAACAACAAGTGTGTGTGTGTGTGTGTACCTGGTATTCCCTACATTATGAGGACCAAATGTTCCCACAAGTATAGTAATACCAGTCAATTTTGAACTTTTTTGTTCCCTTTCATGGGAACTTCGAACTGCGTCCTCTAGGGGTCGCTATGGGGAATGCCTCGTCGTGACCCGTGTCTGAAGCATACATTGAAAAAACACAACTCGTTGGCCGGCGACAGCCATGACGTCACTACCGGTGCGACTATAGTATAAATAGGCGCCGGGAGCACACATCATTCTCTTCTTCGTCTTCATTGACTGTTCTGTTTGAAGCGTGCATTTCCAAGGAAAAAGTAAGAGCTATCTCTTTCATTATGGCGAGCACTAGCAGAGCATTTAGAAGGTGTGTGCATCCGTGTCATCGCTATTTGACACCAGATGACACACACGATCTATGTGTTGTTTGTTTGGGCGAAGAGCACGCACGCGATGTCCTCGAGGGGGCAATCTGCGCGCATTGTGAGTTTTTTCCAATGAAAAAGCTCCGTTCTCGTTTGTCTCTCTTTTCGAGTAAAGAGGGGCAACCATCTGCTCCCCGCGGTTCAGAACCTGCCGCTGCTGAGGCATGGAGGAGAATGAGCTCGTGGGGATCTCAGGTGAACCTGGCCGATGAGTTTAAAGAGGGGCTTTCCCTCTCGCGCTCATCGGCGGCAGATGAGAGACGGCCGCCGGGGGATGAT